AAAAAAAAAAAATGACCAGTCAGTGGGACAAAAACGACGTGTCATTTGTATACTGTCAACAGACAAACAAAAAACTTTGTTCGCATTAAAGTTGCAAAAAAAAAAAGATATTCAGTTGAAAAGAGCTCAAAATTCTTTTTTTAGGTTGCATTTGACGATTATCCGATTTATAATCCAGTAGATGATATCAATTTCGAAAGCGGTAAATCCTTCCACACCAGTTGTCATCCAATCGATTCGGTTTGAAATTTTTATTTTACAATAAAACTTTAAATAGTCATACACGAAATGGATACAAAGATTTTTTGGGCAAATTTTTTTATCAAAACAATGACTGTTGCTTAAAGGCCTCTCATAACCTCAACTAAATTTATTCAGTAATATCTATTTCAAATGAAGTACCAACATGAAGATTTTGACAAGTAATCCATCGAAGAAATCTTGAAACGAAAAAGAAAATGAATCTGTATTATCCTCGGTTATTTGTAGCATTATATCTCATTAACCGTTCGGTAGATTCTTACATATTTCAGTCAAAAAAAAACATTGGTATAGCTGGCGGTATTAAATCTGGTAAATCCACACTTATAAATGCCTTACGTGGACTAAATCCTGAAGAAAAGCAAGCAGCCGGACATCAGTCATGCATGAGAATGGAACCGTTTAATTTTCTTGAGGAACAATTCCAAAACATAGTTCTTTGGGAAATTCCGTATCCTCAAAAAATTAATAACATTGCTGATATGTACGACAGAACTATGGAATTCGATAAGATTTATGAGTTAGTTTTAAGCAGTAAAATACGACGAGCCCTTCACTTATTACTCACAATTCTGTTTATATTATACATTAAAAAAAATTTATTTAGAAGGAACAAATTACACCTTTTTGAACTAATCATAGTCCTCACACCGCAAGGTAATCTAACCGACGACGATATAGCATTTTCCCGTATTCTTCACAGTCGGCGAACACCGCTACTATTTCTGAAGTCCAAAACAGATGATGACTTAGACGCTGAAGCACGAGAAACAGACCAGGATATCGGCGATCTTCTTAAAGAGCGATACATTGAAAAAGGTAGTGTATGCCTCAATCCAATGAGATTTTACTGAAGCATATTACACAATTTTCCATGAGTGTATTTCTTGCAGTTGGACACATCTTTTCCAAAGGACTGCATCAGAAAGCTCAAGTACTTGGAGATGTTGAGCTGCTGTATGTAAGTTCACCAGTGGTTCAAGATATTCTCTGCGGAAGCACAGCATCTTTACTGTACAGAGTCGATGAAGATAAACTTATTGCTGTCGTTGGATTGTATCCCTGCTGCCACAAGGCGTTACAAAATCTTGCAAAAGATCAAGTTCGTCTGATTTTGAAAGTTTTCAGTAGCTTCGTAAATTTTTTATTGGCCGTCTGTAATTAAAATCATTTTGCAATTTGTAACTTTATTTTTTGTTACTCATTAAACTAACTGTGATTGTTTTTTAGACAGCTGCTCATGATTCAAAGCTAACTTTGCCGTGCAACTTCAGCAACGAGTCACTCTCCGTAAGAATTTGTAACCTCCATTTATTTGTCCCCGTACATCCCTTAAAATTAATTGAATTGAAGAAGCTGTACAGAATCACAGCATAATGTATAAATGTCGCGAATGTATGTACATTAGTAGCTTTTTACCAAGGAATTTTAGCCAGTTTCTGCTCGGCATGGAGACTATGAAACTCACACATTACCAACTGTATTAGCAGATGCTGGATTTGAGATCTCCTATGGAACTGACGACCGGGTTTACGGTACTTTCGAAACTAGATGCTCTGTTAGGAGGGCTGGCAAGGTTCACTTCGTTGAAACGTCTGGTAACATCGCGCAGCCCAAGAAACACTTCTAGAATTGTTTAAGTGATCACGCTCTTCGAAAATTGAGGCGACACTTTCCAACGAAGACAAAAATATGACAAATATAAACAAGAAAACAAAGAAGAGAATTAATTTTACCAAACGAATAATCAATTTACAATCATATCAGCCCAACATAAACGAAAAATTGTTCAAGCGTTTATGTTTCAATTTTCAGACAGCGTTCAACTACGGATTTGCTGGTAGTCAAGGAGTTGGTAAGTCCGCACTTATCAATGGTATCCGTGCAATTTCCAGCAAACACCCGTTGGCAGCCGGCCGCACTAAAATAAAGCCGGGATTCTGCCAACGTCACGAATTTGATGATGATGTGCTAGCTTACAGCGTCACATTATGGGAATTACATTACCCTAAAAAAATCAGTGCTTTCTTTGAATTTATTGAGTAAGTCTTACGCCTTACCACTAAAACTACTTTCCGAAAAACAGCAGGGAGGTATGAATTACGTTAATCTGTTACGCTTTGACTAAGTACATATATTTCGTTACAGCCAACATCAGTTAGCCAACTTTACTGCAGTATTCATTGTAATCAATGGTTCTCCTACAGAACAGGATCTCACATTCGCAAAAATTGCATTTAGAAGGCAAGCAGAAAA